GTTTTGTGAACTGTCTGGTTTATTTTGTATATGCGCCAGATAAATGTGATCCGTTTCTAGAGATTCATAAAATTTTAAACTATTTCACTTATTATAGCTAATCAGATCTTTAGTGATGAGTTCCATATCTTACATTATTAATCTCAATATTCAGCAATTCCATAAGATAGAATAGTACGGTGCTTCAAAGAATTAATTACAACATATTAGCTAATAATTGTACCCTATAAATATCAAATCAATTTGCTTTCAAGTCTTGCAAATCACAAAACTTTTCAAAATGCAACTTGTTTAATCTATACTTCCCATTAAAGACCAATAATAAATCCGATGTAAATCATTCTCCTCATATAAAGGCAATACTTAATGTTTTGGTATGGTTTCCGGTATGATAGATAGTGATCCTTTAGTAAATCGAGCATAAGATTGATATCTTTATAAGTTATGCCTATTAAAAGGAAAAAGAAAAATGTCTGTTTACGAGCTTCCAACTTAAGGAGTATTGTTATTTTATAGTTCGAAGACCTTACACATTTCGTCACTTATTAATTTTATTAACATTAAACAAGTAATCATATCTCGTAAGACAGTATTCAATATTTCTTAATAATTTTATGCCATAGCCCATAGTTGTTGTTGGATTCTGATGATATGAAAAGATGATGCATGCTCTGCTAAAAAAACCCCAATTTGTAAATAGATTATGTCAAGTTCTAATACAACGATACCAACTATGTAAATACCATACAAACTATGAAAGATATGTATTGATGGTATGGGAGTCGATTTCTGTAACAAGATATATTAATTAATTACTTTTAATATGAAAATTCAAAGCATCTTATTTAAAATGTGGCCTACACTCTCATTGTTTGTCATAACCGTTTTAAGCAAGATGTATCTCTCAATGGCGCCGAGAATATTTTTGCACCAGATTGCCACCCGCATATAACGGCCATATATTAATTATTTGTCTTGCTAGTGTTCAGTTTATTATAAGTAAAGCTATCAGTTTCTGGTTGAGTCATAGTGTTTATATGTTAGACAATTTGTTCTTTACTATTTGTGTTAATAAGAATTCAGTTGCAACTCAAAACTAACTTTAAGTGTCACTTAAAATAATATTAACGCAACGAAAGCACAACGAGGTGTATGGGCGTTATTCTGACGGTTCATTCTCAAATACACTGGCAGCTAAACGTTAACTTAATGTAAACTACTTTTGAAGCCATTTTCCTATAAAAGTCAAATCAACGAAACGGAAATTCTCAAAAACTTACTTTTTCGTTATTGAAGATAAAAATGACAGGGAACGACCGGAAATTCAATTAAAAAAAAAAAACAAACGACGCAAAAAATTGTAAACATACCTGATTTAGTCATTTGTTTAGTAGCTTAAACTTTGTAAAGTTTATTTTTGTTAATTTATGCAAAACGGCAAGGCAATCTCAAAAAAGGAAAAATTAATTAAAACCAAAAACAAAAGCAACAAATGTGAGAAAAATAATACTTAATTTGTACAACGCATGTATTATACAGTTTATATATGTATATGAGTTATATATACGAATGATTTACTTATGTTATACTAGAACACACACCCGAATTATACCTATACAAATGATTTATCTATAGTAGAAAACATCCGAATTAGAATTGTTTTCATTTTCAAATTTAAAAACGCATTTCATCTTCTAAGTAAAAAATTTGTTATGGGAATGAACTGAGCCACAAATGTACATAAATGAAAAATATCTATTTATTTTTTTAGATTTAACACATGATTTTTAATGTCAGCTGTTTCCATTGTTTGTTTATATAATTTGCTTACATCGCTACTGAATGCTTAGCTTAAATTATTTTGTGCATAAATCAAGTAGCAAAATAATAATAACATTTAAAATTATTTCCTTTGTGAGTAAGCCATGCTTAATCACGCCTCAGTTAACCTTGACTGTGACTCTTATTCTGAATCTGACAGCGCACGTCTCTATTATCTGTGTTATCTGTGGAAGTATGATTTATAAATTAAAAGAAATTTTGTTTTTATGACTAAAAATAAAAATAATTGAAATATTTATGCAAAAATTAGAATGTACATATATTAATCTTAACATAGATAATAGATTACTTATATTATATTAACTTATATTAACTTAACTTTAATAAAATATGGAAACTGCTCCTAGTTTCATCAGTTGCACGAGGGTAGTTTGATATATCAGTTAATTTTTGAACTGACACAGTAGTTACAATGCATCGTTAACATCATCAATTGCATGCTTAGGCTTGGCGATTTTCCAAAGGCCTGGAATATGGCCTCGGTTGTAGTGTTTCCTAAACCGGACAAGAGTCATTCATTTTCGCAGAACTTGCGTCCTATCAGACTGCTCCCAACTATGGGGAAATTGGCAGATCGAGTAATCTAGGCTTAAAACAGCGGTGAATGCACTAAATATACTTCCTGACGAACAATTCGGGTTTACGGATAATCTCTCTACGGAACTACAACTAGCCAAAACTGCGCAGCTGATACAAACCGCTCTAATTAAACGGGAGTCAACCGGGATGATTATATTTGACATATCCAAAGGCTTTGACAAGGTCTGGCATGATGGCCCTAACTATCCTCAAGTCCACTTCTGGATTCTCAGGAAGATATGCTGATTTAAGGTCCGTCATCAACTAAAAGACAAATAAATGATATGATTTCTTAGGCTAGTTACTTTATATACAACACTGCTAATGTCAACTATTATCTGTTAATATGTAGTCTATTGTAAAATCATAAACAAGCTGTTGTATCATATAGCCATTGAAATCAGACAACCTCGTGAATTTCAATGAAAATGTAAAAGTAGAATTTCGTGTGATTTTTAAGCATTAAATTTTGTATAAAAGAATCATTCCCGAACATCAATATTAGTGATTAAGTAATGGCTTACTTAATTCCGATGTGGAAAAAGAGGAAGATACACACCAGATATAATTAAAATTCATAATATAGTACTAGAAAATCAGCAAGTAAGATTCGCGGAGTTCCTGAGTGGGCACATCACTATCCTCGCGATCGGCGCTACGATTGCTCAAATTTGACGATAAGCGTAGCCATGTGACTACTTCGCAGGAGTGTGTGCCAAGGTTTGAAACCAATCCGAACGTGTTTTATCGCCGTTTTGTAACCGGAAAAATGGGTACCGGCTAATATTGATGGAAGTGCTCTTCCATCAAGACTATTCACACGAGTGCCGTCGCGAATGAAAAAATTGGACTACGAACAGTTACCCCATCCTGCATATTTTTCAGATTTAGTGCACTGCGACTATGTTTCCGAACGTGAAAAAAGTGGACTCGACCGTAAGACTCGATTTGGGTGAAATAAAGAAATAAAACAAACTCGTATTTTAAGAGCTTCACGAAAACGTATTATTTGAAAGAAATAAAAAAGTTCGACTAAATGTAACAAGCTAAAAGGAGACGCATATAAATAAAATATTTTTAATTTAAAAAGTCACTAAATTAACATATCAAATTACCCTCGTATGTTATCAAAAAACATTTTCAATTGAGAAATCTAGATTTGCTCTCAATCTGCACACTTTTTGCTATAGTTTTGTGGTCCAATCAAACATTCTGGGCAACCTAAATATTTGATTATTATATTGACAAATCAGTAACTTAAATTAAAATCAAATTTGAAACAAAAAATGTATTGTAACTATGAAATCATTTAAAACAGGTGTTAATTTCAAGAGCTTAAGATAGATTAATACATATAATATAGTGTTAGACATAACTAATTCAAAATGAAAATGATAATTGAAAATGATAAATGACGCTGAGAGTAAATCTCGAGTGAAAAACTTACTAATCGAAAACGCTATTAGAAATTATTATTATTATAGGTATTTCTAAATCATATATTTTATATTTATATATATATATATATATATATGTGTGTGTGTGTCATATGTAACCAAATTACATGAAATCAAAAAGGCTTTTTAGCTCATTAAGGAGGATTCGAGCTACTTGAACCAACCTAACTAGTTACCAAGAATGTAGATAACTTAATTTTTTCTCTGACTATATGAATTTTATATTTTGGTACTTCGTGATAACATCTTATAAATTAGAAATCTTATCAATACAACGCTGGTAATTGTAATTGTACTATTGTAACATTCTACAGAAACCAATTAATCCCAATTTATTTTTATATATTCTATTATTATTGTAGTAACATTCTATAGAATATCATCAAATGTATTCCTCTGTTATTAATTTCTATTATTATTTTATATTAGAATGACAATTTCGTTATGAATTAGAAAGTCTCCTTAATGTAATAAAACTATAATTAATTATAAGCGCTTATAATTTTTATAACCAGACTTTTTCCCGTCTGGTTTAGATATATAAATATGTATAACAAATACTTCGTTTAATGTACAGCTGTTTTCAGTGATGCTAAATTGTGTTTCTTAATTCGAGATTAACTTGCTATACATTTTTAAAATATTTAATGTCATGTTCACTTCTAAACCATTTCGCATTTTAACTCAAATTAAAATTAGCATTTTAAATAAAATATGTACGTATTTGAACTTGAAAAAGTTATCTGTTCTTTATGTGTTACAGTTGTACTGTTGTTGTATTGTTATTATTAGCGCATGTTAATATATTTAAATATTTTGAAAAATTATTTTCAATACAAGTAAGAAATGATAAATTTTTCATTGCATTCGAGTCCATTCTAAGACAAGTCTAGTTTATATAAAGTTGCGTTTCAGAATAGAGAACTAAACTGTATAAAAAAGAAGAAGTACTAAAAAATTGTATGGACATTTAGATATCATATAAATAATCGTAATATATATTTTTAAAAATATAATTTATCTATATAGATAAACCCCACATTGAATAAATAAATTTAATTAATATTTTGTTGTTATTAATAACATATATTAACTTATCAAATTTGTTATCTTAACTTGCAGACGAAGAGACTTCACTGAATGAAAATACTAAAACGTTGGAAAGGCAACCATTAGAAAATAAATCAAAACTCAAACAACGCCAGCAAAATAAGCAGAAACAGGAACAGCAGCAATTGAACATAGACGATAAAAAAACGATATCATCCTCATTAGATATACGGATTGGTGCAAAAACTGTCGATATAAAACCACTTAAAAAATCCTCTGTAGCAAAAGTAAAATCATCGCCTCCAACGTTAGTTAACAATAAAAACTGTGAGGATAAAACAAGTGGTATACTAACACCACCGAAGGCAGAACTGCCGACTGCAACGATAGTAGCAGCAACAGTTATGAACAGTCACGCTACAGCAACACAAAGCGGACAAACATCAGTCGTTGGTCATCATCGTGGTTTTTCACAACCTTCAGTAACAGTGGCGACTAATTCAGCAGGTGATCCATGGTTTTTACAATCCACCGGGCATCAAATGCCACCAACAGCACCACTACGTCACAATAAACGACCAGCACCGCAGCCGAATGTAAGTGGTAGCGGTTTAGTCGGTAATAGTGCAGCTGGTGCATTACTGGCTGGCAGTAATATTGTGCCAGCAGCTGGTGTTAGCGGTTTGTTACATCAGCAGCAATTAAGCCAGTCACAGCCACATATTGTACCCCCAAGTATACCGCCGCATCATCATAATAATGTGGTAAGTAAAATATATTCATTTAATTGATAATATTAGTATATTAAATTGTAATTTATTTTTCGCAGAGTCAGCACCACAATGCGATTCATTTATCCTCGCATGCACTTAATAGTCATAATTTAATAACATCCGCTTCCAATCATTCACCTAAATCACCTAATCAACATCAGCATCAACAACAATTAGCAGCTACCACAACACAAACGCAACAATTGCAGCAACATCCCCATGCACACTCCCACGGTCACATATTATCCACATTTGCGCCACCATCGCAACAACAAACGACTGCAACAGGCGCAACAAATTGTACAGCGGCAGCTGTTGCAGCAATAACACAACAACAACAACAGCAACATTTGCAGTTGCTCTCTTCCAATAATTCTAATAACAATTTAATGTCGTCATCAATGAATGCGGCACATTTAGTTGGTCAAAATACGCATAACGCGCTCTCATTGCATGAAAGAGGCCTACCACCAAAAAATCTAAGTGTCGCCAATAGTGCGCTGCATGGCAGCAATATGTTGCTACATACAACAGTACAACAGCATCAATTGCAGCCAACATCATTGACTTCTTCACAACAACAGCAACAACAGACAAATTCTGCTACAACGGGTATGTCAACTTCTTTGCACAGTTTTGACATAAATGGAGGTAATGGCACATCGTGGGCGAATACGGGCAGCTCATCGCTGTCGCCAACTAGTGCAATGGTGCCAACAATACAACAGCAGCAGCAGCAACAGCAACAAAGGAAATGCGAAGTCAAATTGAATGCAATGCCGTAAGTTAATTAGTTTAAGTGCTATTTCGTATTGTTGATTTTAATTAAAATATTTTGTTATTGCAAATGTTTGGAAGCTGTAAAGCTGTAAACTAATTAAACTATAAAAATGCGCTTAAGTGACAATAAATTTTCTAGGCCAAACGCTAAATGTTTAACTTGGATTTGTAAAAAATTCTATATGTAATCAACACTTTCGCTAAATGGCTTATCTTATCGTAGTTTTATCAGCACACATAATTAAAAATATTATTTGCAATTTCTTTCATTGTTTGCACTTGATTATTTGCATTTGTGCTTGATAGTTGTAATATACAAAATATTTTAATTAATAAATTTATATTAATTTTTTTTATACATGAAGTTTAATATAAACTATCCACCAATATTTCATAAGTACGGATTACTAAAATATACTTTACACGATTGTGATTTCTCGATAATGCACATTTGACAATGGATTTACAGTAAAGATATATATTTTTAACAATTTTTTCCACGATACCTTGTGTGTATGTAACTTAGTTTTCGAGATTTAGGACTTTAAACTTTTTAAAAATTTTTTATGAAAACGATCAAAAACAAGTAGTTACCCAGGTCATCATTTACATAGTCAATATAAAAATTGCATATACTAATTCGCGATAGATGGCGTGTGAAGTATTTTTTTTATTAGTATATAACCAATGTAAAATACTTACAATTGACTACCTAAATCCCTTGTCAAATCGGCGTATCGGAAAATTCAATCAATGTAAAGTACTTACAATTGCCTACATTAATCCATTGTCAAATCGACGTAACGGAAAATTTTTTGTCTTATAACATAAGAAGATCTATATCACATAATAAAAAATTACAATAAATAAATAAAAAATTTATTTTTTTGTAGTTGGTTTCATGGTAGTATTACACGCGACGAAGCAGAACACCTATTGCAACCCCGTGACGATGGTCTCTTCTTGGTTCGAGAATCAACAAACTTCCCTGGTGATTACACATTATGCGTCTGCTTTCAAGGCAAAGTGGAACATTATCGTGTAAAATACTTAGAAAATAAATTAACCATTGACGATGAGGAATACTTTGAAAATTTAGGACAACTAGTGGCTGTAAGTATTAAACTAATAATATTAAATAATCTAGAAAACCTCAATTTTGTCTCCTTAGGTATCAGACATAAATATAAGTAAAAATAGTAGAAATCAAAAAAAAAAAATTAAAACATGATTTATTATGACCGCGTATACACCCCTAAAAACTTAAACAACAGTGAAGTGTCTAGCCAGTATGTCACGCAGAGATAAAATGTGCTATAATCTGAGAAGTGTAAAACTCTGATATAGAAAAAAAATAAACAAACTAAGTTTGTATTAACTAACGTATGACCAACTTAGCTTAAACTAAAAGATTTAAGAGATTGCACTTAGTAGATCTCTTCGACCTTGGGCTACAAAAAGAGAATTAAACATAAGTAATAAAATAACCTCTGGAATAGTCTTAAGATTCTTCAAAAAATATTATAAATATAGTTCTGGAGATAATTGTACAAGAATTAAATAATAAATCAAATTTATATAGTTAAGTGATTACTCTTCTTAAGTGCTATGCATTGCGATTACAAGAAAGCGATGCTGTTAAGTTATTTAAGTTTTTGAGAAAAAAGTATATATCTAACCGAAGTTAGGTCTACAGGAGCATTCCTCTCCAGATGGCTTTGTTGCATGTGTGCCTTATCCAGTCTCCCTCATTAAATGCAATTAATCCTCAACTTGATTACTTTATCGGAGATCCTCACCGACGTGTTCTTTCGAGATTCAGAGTCTCGCTATGTTGTGAACCAGATAATTTATCTATATCTTTGTATAAGAGATCATCATTTCGATTTCAAGATTTTTATTTTGCGTCGTTGTGTCTTGTCCCTTTAATAGAATAATAATTATTTATTATTAATAATTTTTATTGTAATTAATGTATAATCGAACGTGAATATTTTCAATTCTTTTAGCATTACGAAGCTGATGCTGATGGTTTGTGCACACAACTCATTAAGTGTTTACCAAAGAAAGGCAAACAAGAGTTCTGTATAAATTCTAAAGATTTTGTGGACAAAGGTTGGGTTATACCCGAAGCTGATTTACAGTTGCGTGAAAGCATTGGAAAAGGCGAGTTTGGTGATGTGTTGCTAGGAATATTGCGCAATGAGAAAGTTGCTGTAAAAATGCTTAAGGATGAAGGAGCTGTACAAAAGTTTTTAGCGGAAGCTTCTGTTATGACGTAAGTTTTCCAAATTCCTTAAGATTTAAAATTAATTTCAAAAAAATTATTATTATAATTTATTTATAGCACTTTGGAACATGAAAATCTTGTAAAGTTTATTGGTCTCGTATTTACAAGTAAACATCTTTATTTAGTAACAGAGTACATGAGCAAAGGATCACTGGTTGATTACTTAAGGTCGCGGGGACGGCAACATATAACGAAAAAAGATCAAATCAATTTTGCCTAGTATGTTTTCAAATAGAACTGTTTATTTGCGGGTATATAATAATATATTTGAAACTTTTTTCAGTGACACGGCTTCAGGCATGGAATATTTAGAAGCCAAAAAAGTTGTACATCGTGATTTGGCAGCCCGTAATGTTTTAATTTCAGAGGATTGTGTTGCTAAGGTGTCAGATTTTGGCTTAGCACGCGAAGAATGTTATTATAATTTAGATGTTGGTAAATTACCAATTAAGTGGACAGCACCCGAAGCTCTAAAAAATGGCGTAAGTAGTTAAAACTCGAGATCATTTAATTATTTATGAATATATTTTTTATTGTATATTTATAGCGTTTCTCAAATAAATCAGATATGTGGAGTTTTGGAATATTGCTTTGGGAGATTTATTCGTTTGGTAGAGTTCCTTATCCTAGAATCGTAAGTATCTACGGCTTTTTGTAATTTTATTTTTAAATAAAATAATATAATATTAGCACAGTAACTAGTTTGTAGTGGTTAAAAAAAATAATAATATTTTATTACTTTTTTTATAATTTAAACAACGTAAATTTATGTAGCATTTGTGTTGTGTCATTAACGCTCGAGTAAATGTTTCAAATTTCACAGGTTTCCGTTTTCAAGTTTCTAAATATAACAATTGCAGTTCTAAGATTATATTATTATTATCAGCATGTTTATTACAATATCAGATTGTACAAACTTAGCCTATTCACATAAATTTCTAAAAAAAGTTATTCCAATTTTACCATCTCTTGCTATGCATCTTAGTTCAATTATTGACTTATTTGTTTTCCGTTTTATGGTTCTGCGCTAAGTATTGCGTGGTCTGCTTTGCGACCTTTTGTCTTAAGGGTTCCAAGATAGTATGGGATATGTTACATCTTCTGTATTTTTCCGCAGTGTATGGCCCAACCATCTAAATTTTCGAATTCGTATTTAATGTACAATTGGTTTCTGTGCAGTAGCACTCCACAGCCGGACACTACTGTTACCACAACATTGTAGTTTTTAAATTGATACCAGTGTTAAATGCTATGTTTCGCTTCCGTATAATATGGCAAGGTAAAATTATAGATCTTATGTAAGATTATATACGGAATATTAAACTTGCATATTTCTAAAGACGACTGATGATGAATATTTATCAATATTCAAAACAACTTTATGGTTATTTAATTAATAATAAAATATTTGTTATATTTTCTTACAACATTTTGTTTTGTATTTATAAGCTATATTTTAATAGTATGTTGGAAAATAAATGTTTTCAAAAATTTCGTTTTTCGTCCAAGTTAATTATATAAAGAAGATAATATATGATTTTTTGATATATTAAATTGTTCGACATAATTATAATGTCATGAAATTATTTCTTTCATTCTATTGAAAAGAGTTTTTTATTTATTCAATGAAAAAATTTTATACCTCTATAAATAAAAGTGTTTTTATATTTTTAACTATTTTCCTCAAGGTTTCAGCTATAGAGGAATACATAAACTCAATATAATATATGTATATAGTATATAACTAAGCAGTAGTCGGGTTTCTTCCTGACAACAATATGCTGTTGTTGTTGTAACCCGTTAGAACTTGCTTGTAAAGTCACTTTGGGTGGTGTTGGTCGTCGAGATTGACGAGTGGTTCCGGAACGTAGACCCGGTCGTTCTTGGAACTTCGACAATATGCAACAATATTGATTCTTTCGGTTTACAGTTTAGTTCCGAATCTAAGCCCTAGTTTTTAATGAAAACAGCACATTATTTATTTATTAATAATTAATAATACTATCATTAATTATTAATGATAATAATATATTATTATATATATACGTTATATCTTACATAAAATTCAGAATATTATAATATTTATAACATATATATTATTTCATAATTAATCAAAAATTATTATTTATTTTTAGCCTCTCTCTGAAGTTGTTAAGCATGTTGAAGTTGGTTACAAAATGGAAGCACCAGAAGGTTGCCCACCTGAAATATACGAAATGATGCGTCAGTCTTGGGACTTAAATCCTATTAAGAGACCAACATTTGCAGAATTAAAAGTTAAATTGTTACATCTTAAAAATGCAACTGCGTGAGATAATCCTTATTAATAAAAAAAAGCAAACATAAGAAAAACCATATATAATAAATATAGTAAATAATATTAAGAGAGGAGGAGGGCAACTTCTCAATTAAACATGTAAAAATACAAAAAATAATTAATATTTAAATGAATGTAAAACAAAACTTGTATAAGTTATTTAACGCAACAATTTTAATAATTTATTTAAACTATTAACTTCATACATGTGTACGTGCAACAACAATATTACAAATTTTCTTTATATTATTAATAATATGTTTTTGCATTAAGTTTATGTATTTTATAAAAATGCAGCTTGGAAAAAAACAATATTTGTTTTTTATGTGCAGCTAAAAAACCTTAAATGCAAACTCTGAACTTTTTTTTAACTTTTATGCGTAGCTATTAATATATTTAGTGATGACTTAGTTAAGTTTACTTACAATTTATGTTATTTATGTTTAGTTAAAGATATATATGTTTAAATAAGATACTAATAGAAATGATTTATATTTTGATAAATAAATTTATTGTGACCATTATACTTAAAATAAAAATAAAATACGACACAGTAAAAAAAATATTAGAAAAGCAAAACGAAAAATATTAAAATTAAAAACATACTTTTTATACTTCGTTTTATTTAACTTTTAAAGTAATCCTTATTTTTTAATACAATAAAAAAAAAATAAATTAAAAAACTATTACTTGTAAAACAAGTAGTCAATAAGTTTTGTAAATTGCTTTTGTAAATTTTCATTTTCAGCTTTATTTTATATGTTAATGTAATTTTTTTTCGGTAGCTATGAGTTATACTAATTATTTTGTTTATATATAATTTTATATTTTATAAAAATTAGTAAAAATTGTATTTAAACTTCTTTTTGAATTTAAATATACTTAAAAAGCAAACGAGAACCTTAAACTATTGTAATAACAAATACATATTAAAATATGCATATATATATATTTATATATAAATTTTATAAATTAAAACAATCAGCTAGCAGCTAAAAAAACTAGTAACTTATCAGCTAATAAATAATAACTTATATTTAATTATAAATGATAGTAAAAATGCGTAATAAAATTCGTAAAAATATGCATAATATTCGTTTTAGAAAATAAAAAAAATAAACACAAGTGAATAACATTTTATTTTAAAACAAAAACTTATAAAACAATTGCTAATATATTTGAATTAAATATTATTTGTCCAATTTTGTGATGTGCGATGACGTAGATGATAATAATCATTTAAACCCGGCTTTACTTATATATACAATTTTTTTTATTTTTATTTGAATCTCCTTAATAAAAGTTGTTTTTTTTTCTAATTTTACATTAAAACAATTTCGCTAGTATGTAATTAATTTTTCGTTATTTTAAAAAAAATTGTTTCTAAAAATAATTGTTTTTAGCAAAAAATGTTATTAATATGTTTTATTTAATTTTTTAATTGTTATTTTAAACAAAAAAAAATTAACTGATTTTTATGCTTAAGTTATTTTAATAAAGAAAGTTTATATCATCTGATTATATCATTTTAATTGTAACATACACTCTTAAATTAACATCAACACATCCAAGTAAAATATACACATGAAAATGTTAAAAAATTTATTTCAATTTGTTTTATTTATAAAATATTTTATTTTTGCAAAGAATATATAATAAATTATATGGATTAATTACTATATTTTAAAAAAATTCATATTATTATTGTCTTATATCTAGTTCCTAGTTCAAAACATTTGAGTATTAGGGTGTTCCAGTAGCTATAGCGTGCTTGCATGCGAATATTTTGATCGAATACTTTAAATATTTGGAAATGTTTGAGCTGCTTAAACTGGACATTTACATTATATTTCATTTTTTTTTTGTTCGTTTTGTTTCATCAAATAAGTAAATCAGTAAATGCTCGAATACATTTGAAAGGCTTACTGTGCTCGAGTACAAGTATAGATGCTCAGAACATCAAAATGCTCAAAGCTTCGAATAGCTTAGAAAATATGTGAAGCTGTAATAAGAACAGAATAGTAGATGTGCACCGTATGAAGATTGATGAATGATTACTTTTTATTTTTGCATTATTTGTTTATGTATTTATCAGAAGTAGATATGGTCATCTAGAGGTTATCGGGTTTATTTTAACTTTTTAAAACAAATTTGAGTGATTCGTTCATGCTTTGATGAAAAAATTAAAATGTAAATTATTATTTCGTCTAGAATGTACATTATTCTCTTCTATGAAACAAAACATACAAGAGAGTAGACTCAATATATAATATATTTGAAATTTGTTTTTCGGAACTACATTTTCTCTATAGTACTTTCCGCTTTATATTAAATTAAACCGATAACAATGACTATTACCTAATCTTAACGTTACTTTAATCAGTAATCATCTCTTACTCCAAGTTACCTTTTTTCTTTTTATATTCGATTATGTGATCATTTGGATTTCACTTGAAATAATCGTAGGATTACAATAACAGCAATAACAATGTTTAATATATCACATATATTTTCTACTTATCGTCCGTCAATTTTGTACACTAAATTATAATATAATTATAATAATCAATTGTGAGTTTATGGACGTAATTTTCTTAGGGTTACCACAGAGCTTCTTTCACTATGTGATATTCACGATCTCAACTAAGAAGCTCAGTAACCGAGTAACATATTAATATAGCAAAGTGGAGAAATAAAAAACATTTTGAATAAAAATATATTTTTATTCGCTTTACACTACAACTATATTGTTCGGATATCCTTAATATATTTGTATATGAATAAAAATTTATAATAAATTGCATATTTTAAACTGTTACTTTGTCACTACATATCTTTAATTATTTAGTTAGTTGAGAAAAATGATATATAACCGCAAGCACAAGAACTGGACTCCAATTGATCTGTAGCTCCGTCCTATTGAAATTGTTAGTAGTCTTCGCCAAAACCTAGGCTTGCTTTAATTAAAATCCCAACCATTCTTAATCTACTTGTGTTTCCAAACAAACCCCATCACACTTCCTTTACCTGTCCATATCCTAACTCATGTAATACGTATCTGAATATATTTATCTAGCTTATAGATCTCTGCGGGTTATCACTACAACAACAACAATGTAATATCACTGCCTCTTAGAGCATTTCAATTTAACAGAGTTGCTAAGATAAAGGATATGTAGAATAGATAAAAACTAATTTTTTAAGTTATTAATTAAATTTTTTTATAAATTAATATAAATTTATAAATTCAAAATCTTTACTATAATTTATTTTAAAAAAAATACAGTAATTGTTAAAATTTTATTTAGTTTTCAATTATTAATTCGATAAACGTTCGCATTAAATTATAATTATTAATTTTTTAAATTTTATAAAACTTAATTTCAATTATGCCGAAATGTCTGTTGCACATTTTATTTAAACAATTTAAATTTAAACTTAACTGCCGTTACGGAACGTATCAATTTTATATTAATAATATATATATATATTTATGCATTTATTAAATTAATTAACCGGCATTTAAGCAATCCTCATTTTAAACGAGTGCTTTAAATTAAATTTAATTTTATATACAATAAAGAAAATTAAATGGAATTAACAGTAAAATAATATTTTTACCAAAACACCAAAAATTAAATGAATTTAAAATATAAAACAAGAATTATATATGTAAATTACAAAATACTTCCAAATACAATACTTTACAAATATTAAATAATATTCATTAATGTATAAAATTATTATTATATTAAAATTAATATTTTTAAATAAATTTAAAGTTTCGAAGAGTTTTAAAGTTCACTACAAATAAAAACAATATAAAAATATAAAAAAATATTAAATTAAATATTAAATTTAAAAATTGTTCGGTAAGAGTTTTCTTGGCTAAATCAAAACGTTTGGCAATATATTAATATTAAAGGAGTATCTAATTTAGAGTATTTAATGAATATTTAATATTATAAATTATTCCACTGAAATTATCATTTATGTGTTTAATTATATAAAAAAATATTATATACATAATAAATACTATAAAATAAGTAAACAATACTTATAATGAGCAGTTTTATTTGATTTGTTCTAAGAACGAGAATTCGGTTTGTAGATGACTAAAAGACTTTCACGCCATAATAAGATTTTTTTTCAACTTAGGTCTTAAGACTCAGATTATATTTGGCAGTATAAGAGCTTCGGAATAATTTTAGAAAAAACACAATTCTCTTAACTCGAAGTTATTGAAAATACATTAAAGAAGCTTTCATAGATCAGTTTATTATTATATATAGGTATATACATATAAAATGTATGAATAAAATGAAATTGCTAATGAACTGGCTACTTATAAAATTTCCTTTAAGTTGGGATACCACAAAAACAACGAAAGTCGATATTTTTCATAACATAACATATTAAATTGTGCCATTTTATTCAGCGCAAATTTCTTCAAACTGGACCAAGGTTTCCCAATACACATTATCCAAATGATTTCATTTGTCATTAGACTTATTTTATCTCCTTCAGCAATTGTTCGGAGTTTCGTTACGCTTACGTATTTTTATTCTCACCAGGAATATTGCTATTAATACTGTTACACCAATTACAATAACATCACACATTAGAGAGAATAATTGATATTTAGAATATACATATATGTTACATATCCAAGCAACTATGACCAACAACAAAACGGAGACTTTCCTAGATTTTGAAAGCAGTAGTTTCCACTTGCTAACGGCTATCATAGGATACAGAGACAGTTTGGTAGGGAAATATGTGACTAGAATTGGTAAAAATAGTTAAAATTTCTGAGAAAAGTTTGCAATATACGAGTATTTATACCACTGTTAAGTTCAATCAACATAGAGAGAGCTACATAAGCTCTCTAAAATAACCTTACTTTAGATGGTTGATTTAGAACGGTTAGAAGAAGAGAATAATTTTCGCTATGGTATCAGAGTTACTCATGCGGCCTTATGCTCCTCCTATGAATTAAAGGATTCAATATATATGAAAGTTATCCATCTTTAGTAATACGAAAAGTTTACTCTTAAATAATTTAATATACTTAATGATCATGATTTAAAAAAAATTTTGGAAATAAGCAAACAAGATAGTAATGCTAATTCAAGATTGGATTTCCATATTAACAAATATTTATATTAAATTTGTATAAATGGCAAAATATGAATTTTTTGTTTATTATCTTTAACTCAACAATCGGCAAGGGATTATTTATAAAAAAAACAGTGCAGTCAATCACCCTGACAACTAAGCGCTTCGTTTACACCTGTCATTACCTGCTTGTGTGTCTTATTACGCGAAGAAAACTCTTCAAGGTTTAGTATGTTGACGACATTAAATCTAGAATGTCTAATAGTTATTATAACGAGCTATGGCACTTAACACAGCATGATTGTGATATAGTTGCCTGTGCAGATTTTGAAAGGCAAAATCAAAATGCAGATGCCACTACTTCTACTATAGGCACGGGAGCTGATGCAAAGTCAGAACTACAAGCCGAAATTTACGAATTCTATGTACGTTACATAGGCATAGCAAATAAATTGGAAGACGTTTACGATAAAATGGTACAACCACAAAAACTTTTGTTGCTGCGTAAATTATTGGACGCTTGTTTAGGACGCGTTATAGAACTTAAACATGACCTTGTCAATATCGATTTAATGGAGTTTAGTTATAACGATGAAGTAACCGATCGTCTTAAACTAACACCCATCGATACTGAACTACATGTGCCGCGCTATTTTCTACGCGAGCGTCATAAGGAGATTGATCATCGTAATAAAACAATGAATGAAATACTCATTAAATTAGGCTGGCTGGAAGAAAATCCGGTCCAAGAAAAAATGACTGAGATCGATGCTATTCGTTTAATACAAATGCATGAACGAGCCAGGCAAGGTAGGTTGCGTGCTCATTTTATGAAAGAAATACGCATGCTCAAGGATAAAGGCAAGTCCGACGAGCGTGGCAAGGAGCACATTGATACTGGACTAACAGCTGCCATGAAAATACAAAAAATGTGGCGTGGCCATACGGCACGTAGAATAACGAGGCGCCGTAAATTAGATGAAATGATTTTAATTGGGATGGTGCCACCGCCACAACAAGTGCTGAAGCAACGTGCCGAACGAACGGATAAATTAAATGAAGTAAATACTATTATTATTTCATATCATAAACGTTTTGTCTCGTTTCATAACTATATAGAAAAATATGCGCCTTCTTTCTCTGGTAGTACACACCATAAACACTAGAATACAAAAACCAAGATTACCGATAAATTGGCTGAAACTGAAAACACATTCAAAATAATTCAATACAGCGAACAACTGGGATAACTTGAGATTCTATGTTACCATCTACAAATATTTCTGATAAGATAAAATTTATATAGAATATATAAAATCCAATTTGAAAAATAGGAAATAAAAATTATTTTACTAAATATTTAAAATATTAAAAAAAAAATTTAGATTGTAGAGAAAAATTCATGTTCTCTTTTTACGGATGATTTATATATATATATATATATATATATTTTAGATATATGAACGTCGCTATGCTACCCAAGATGCTTACAAGGAAAGGTATGAAGCTACCTTACAAAGAATGCGTGAAGAGATCAAAACTAAACACGGTTGTATAAAATATTATTAATATATTATTATATTTATTGTTGTTATTAATATAAATATAATAAGAAAAATATGTACTCTTTTTTAAAAGGTCCGACTATGACGGAAGATATTGCTGATGAAATACGCGCTTGGATAAAAGACTGTCTCGATAAAACTGGCAAGCTACCAGATTTTCCGTCAGAGGATCAAGGTGGTTCACTGCATCTTTTTAGCAGACCAGGTAAACTATCAGTTTAAATTTAACCATACAATTTTATGCTTTTATTTATATTCTTTAAATAATATAAAGGAACTGAAAGTGAACACAGCCGCTCTTCCGCACGTTCCTCAAAGGAATCTCGGAAAACTAAGGACAAATCAAAATCACCTGCCCGCAGCGGCGATTTAAACGTAAATGAAAATCAGGGAGATGATTATCAACCTGGACAGTCATTATTTTTAGCTGATATAAAAACAGAAATTGAAGAGTAAGATTTTTTACATATATTTTATCAATAAATTATTTGTAAGTTATTTGTAAATAATAAATTATTATAAAAGTAATAAAAAATTAGAAAAATATACAAATCTCACATAAACATTTACTCATGAACTGAGTGTTAATATACTTATTATATATATTTTATGTTATACTTATTATGCTCTCTAATTTCTAATATAATTTCTCTATATTTTCTCTCTGATCGCTCGTTCAAACTTCTAGTTACAATAAAATTTTATTAATACTGGAAAATAAATAAATAAAATTAATATATATACATATATAATACTATATATTATAGTATATTTAGTGAAGCTTAGGTTATGTTAGGTTTCAATTGTCGTATGCAGTTGAAACCTAACATCAAATGGGCTTTGGTGCAGCAAAGCCCATTTGAGCACAAATAACGGCAGCTTGTGATACAGTAAGTATAGGAGAATGATCTATCTATATTTTTCTACTTAAATCATTTTTAGATTCAATGAAGTCTGGCGTGATAAAGATGAAACAGGAAATTTCAGCCAAAACTTATACGAGGATATGATATATGCTGACAAGTACGATGAAGTGGAACGTGAATTTCGGCGTGCAGTTGATGAAGTCATGCGTCAGGAATTGGAATTATTACAGGTTTTATTAATATTTAATTTTATATTGTAATAACCCGATATTTATCAGAAAATATTCATCCAGACCGCTTTAGGTAAGAAAGCTAAAAAAAGTAATAAGAAGACTCGTCGATCTGGCAAAAAAGGTAAAAAGAAAAAGGAGAAAGACTTAACACCAGATCGTACCACTGAATCGTTGTATGAAGAGTTGGTAACAAATGGTATCATACGTAAATATCCAGAAATACGTCTAAATCAATATTTGGGTGATAAGGCTTTAGCTGCACGCAAGGGAACCAATCCATCCTCTGGTGACATAAGACAAGTATTAATTGAATATTGTATACTGCCATTAGGTTCGGAACAGATTCGTAATTCTTGTCCTCTGATACGTTCACTTTTAATCACAGGTGGTTATAAAATTTCAATGTAAAAAATTATAAAACATTTAAAATTATTTTAAATTTTAATGAAGTTTGAAATAATTTTTTATTTTATATATAATAGGTCCTAAAGGATCGGGGAAAAAAGCTTTATTGCACGCTATTTGTAATGAGACTGGTGCAGTACTATTTGATCTTACACCTGCTAATATTGTAGGAAAGTACCCTGGAAAATCTGGTCTTATAATGCTAATACATTTAGTTTTAAAAGTGTCACGTCTACTGCAACCGTCTGTTATTTATATGGGCGATGCAGAACGTCCATTTATGAAAAAAGTACCGAAAACGGATCGCACAGATCCAAAACGTTTAAAAAAAGATCTACCAAAATTGATAAAAAGTATAGCGCAGGAGGATCGTGTCATATTTATAGGTACATCTAATTTGCCTTGGGAAGCAGATCAAAAATTATTGCAACAGACCTACAATCGTTTTATATACATTCCAAGACCAGATTATGGTGCTTTGTCTTTCGCTTGGAAAACTTTACTTAAGTATGAAAACACAATGATGTGGTTTTTGTAGTCATCAAATGGTAATTGAATTTTGTAGCGATTATTCAGGTGGACTCACTAATTTGGATCACAGTGTAATGGCAAAAATTTCTGATGGCTATACAATAGGTGCAGTTGATTCTTGCCTTAAAGAAGTTTTGTCTTGCAAGCGTAAGCTACAGTTACGTTCACAACCATTAACGCATGCGGAATTGATAAATTCCTTAAGGTAAAGTTTTATATAAATTAATATTTAAAAATTTAACTTATTTCTGTTATCAGTGCGCGTGACCCAGTCTACCGTGAAGAAGAGGAAGCTTTTGAAAACTGGTGGTCAAAAACACCTTTAGGACGTCGTAAACAGGCTGCCTTAGAAATGGAGGAAGAAGCTCGTTTAGCTGAACAAGAGCAGGCAGCTAAACAAGGAAATGGAAAAAAGAAATCTAAGTAAAAATTCATAACTTTTTTGTAGTATTTATTAAACTAATGATTATAATAATACAAAATAAAATAAATTATAAATAAAGTATAATGCTACTTAAGTTTAAATGTAAATTCTTTATTTCCACTTTTGCATTTAAGTTCATTGATTTTTATTTTTAAAATGTCAGAATCATTATTTTGTGACAATATATCGAGAATCTTTTTTAAATTTGAATTAAGAACATCCACTTTATCACCCAGGCACCATAAAAAGCTTATATGAAATGAAGGATCCTGCAAAAGAAAAATAATTTATAACTATTATATATATTTTAAAAAAATATACATCATAAAAAATTGGTAGGCCATAATCTTCCATCACACTATCCACTTTTAGGAGCAGATGGTACAATTTTTCAAAATAAAAACTGTCAACTACATATGCAATAAAAGTTCTGGTTTTCTCTTCATTCGAATAAATTTTCAAGTCTCTCAAACTGACCGTAAAACTAATAAGGAAAAATATATTAGAAAATGAGTATAAGTATATGAGTATACATTATATTGCTTATATTTTTTATGTACACTGACCTTGACCAATTGGTAAAATGTGTTTTTAATGACTTAACGAAAGAATCGATTAAATGATATTGTAAAACAACTGTCCTACTCAGACTTATGTGTAAATCATTTGTAGTTTGCAGTTCCAGGCTTTTGAAAGCAAATTGCAATTGTTGCTGAACTTCATCTAATAAGCTAGAGTTAACTTGAAATTACTGTCGATATCAATTTGAAAACACAAATTACTTGATTCAATTAACTTACCAGGTACATAAATATAGGTAGCCCAGTTTCCACGTTCATGTTTAAAATTTCTTATACGGCCGTCATGTTTTTCTGGTTCATCTATCACTACATCATCTGTCACATTCTTTGTGCCAGAGAACTTTAGTATAGAAACCGGTAATTGAAATCTATTGTATGAGCAATATTTATATTCTACATTGTAGCACTGCATTATAATTTTAAGTGTCATTAAAATAATTTACTTTTTACCTCTGTAGTGATTGTTTTGATTTTTTTGTTGGCGGTGATAGATCCTTGTTGTCGATGTCGCTTTCAGACGTAGAAGAGTCATAATTCACTAAAGACATTTTTTTTTAATACTTAGTAGCTGTTACAAAAGAGTTTTAAAAATATATCAATATTATTATCATAAAAGCATTGTTTCACATATTAGATATTCGGAAATTATAAGTTATTGTTTACATTTATAGGTTCAATTCGCAATAATTTAATATTTAGAAATCTAGATGATTTCCATAATAAGTCGACAATAAAATTAATACATAGCAATCTAGCGGCATAAAAATAGTTTAAATAAAATAATTTATTACTAACAAAAATGTAAATATTCAAATTAAAATATAATATATTTAATATATAAGTATAATATCCATTCACAATATATTTTGTGAACTTATTATTTTGACATTTGCAAATGTCAACCAAAAAGAAATGACCAAAAACAAGATGGCTAGCTCAGTTTTCGCTCTCAGTTCATGGAAAGTGCTTTTCAATGCATAAATATAGTTTTTCTAGTGCTCCAAAATAAACGGAATATAAATATACATAAAATTAATTTGTTGTGTTAAGCATAAACTATTTGCTATACGGATTTTAACCAATAGTTTGTGATTTCAGTAAAGGATATCGTCAGCAAGATTTTCTTGTTACTTTCGGGGTATGTTCAGCGCCAAAAATATTGTTGATGTAAATGTTTTTTTCTGCCTTAATTCCACTTACATATTCTAAAAAGAACAGTTTGTTACTCTCTTATGGTATTCTTCATTTTCGTCTTGTGCACTTGCTTTGCTATATAGAAATTTTTTGGTGGCATAATTGATTCTTAAAAAGTGGTTTAAATAATAGTATAATTCACTAAAAAGACATGAAATATATATAAAAAAAAATTTAAACATTGAAAATAAATAAAATTTGTAAAAGGCTTTTAGTAAAACTTGAATTCAGTGCAAAGTCTTAAAAATCAATATGAATGTGAAAAAAGTTCAATTGCTACTTTTGTGTACAAATTTCATGTGTTAGCAAAATTTTAAATAAACAAAAGGCATTAATATTATAATTTTTGAATGCATTTCTTCACAATTGATTAAATTGAAGTGAATAAAATAATTTTTAATACTTGTGTTTTTATTACAAATTTACATCTTCTGAAAGATGTAAGCGAAAAAAAATCGATAAAATTCTTAAAGAAAAATTTAATGTTTTGAGTGAGTATACAGCATTTAAAGGAAGCGCCCCTTCAATATTTAGCTATAAAGAAATGTGATAATGTTTTTCCACCCTCTACCCGGCTTTATTTATCAATTGTTGTATTTGCATCAACACTGTGTTATCCTCCCCCTATTTACGAAATTTGTGTATGTATATAACTTGTGCTATTTTACGCCTATGCTTTAATTTATCTAGCAATATTAAACATTTCTTAAGTTAGCTTTTTTGACCTCATTTGTTATATTAAAAGTGTTGCCATATCTCTTCGTACGAGATTTTGTAAGTTAACTAGTTTTGACGCCAACTCAATGCTTGGTGAAATCCTATGCTCAGTTATTTCTAATTGAAATTCTCATTGTAACGCCTTTTAAAATTTTCCTTAAAAGATAATTTCATTGGAATTTAGGCAATAAAAGCGGCAAACTTTAGCGTCACTTTGTGTATTAATTCTTTTTTGTTATGTAAAGTTTGAAATATTTGTAATTATATTAGGATATACTGGCTTCATAAGACTTAACTTGTTTAATGTTATAAGTTATTTTGTTAATATTTTAGTGAATGAGCAAATTTAAGCTTCAAGCTTTTAGTGTTTAGCTTTTATTCCGTGATCTTTGTGAATATAAACTTAAAACAATAATTTGATCAATATGTTGTCAAGCTTCGTGCTTTAATATTTTATTGGGAAAAAAACAATAATACATGGATTAGTTGCTGAAGAATACAGTGATCGCTTTTTGTTTGTTTGTGTCAAAATTTATAAATTTAAAGTCGCAGAATCCAGCTATAGTTGTATATATAGCAGTAGAAAAAAATAGTTCAGAAAATCGTGCTAGTGTATATTTCTTCAGATATATATAAAATATGAAGAAATTATAATATACGGATAGTATTCAAGTGAATGTGCTAATTTTTAAAATCAGTTTTTGAAGACGCAGATAAGGTCTATTTTTATAATTTGAACAGCATCTTACATCACAACTGAAGTACTTTACTCTGTGTTAAAATAAAAGCTGATATAAAATCTAACTTCCATAACTCGAAATACTTTTTTGCAAAGAAAATGGTCGACTTATGGACCCTATTGCACTCTATTTAGTTTGAATTATAGAAAATTCGAGTTATAGAAGTTCGAGTTATGGAAGTTTGACTGTATTTGATTTCCATATCTGTTATTATCCAAACAAATTTTTAATGTATAGGAATACAAGTGAGTAAATACATTAACTTCAACACCAAATATTACTTATTTTAATTTCAAACTCAGAGATATGAATTTCATTATCACTCTAATATAAACACTATATAATTAGTATAAAAATATGGATACTCGTCAATAAAACCTTATCTAATTATGTCTTCCACTTCATTCGACAGTTGTAATATATATATAATGTATATATTGTCTAATTAAATTAGAGAAATATCTGTGTCCAAAGAAAAAAAATTCTTAAGTGCTTACAACATATATCCAATAAAAATTACAATTGCAATACGCATTACAGATATGCATCATTATATATGTACGCTACAAAATAATAATAATAATAACTGACCGAAGAATAACAGCTGTTCCATGCATTAATAGTTAATAGTTTGCTGTGAAACTTTGTTTTAAATATTATATTGATATTATTTTGATTCTTATCAAGTGAAAAAATTATGAAATATTTCATGTATTACTTACATGTAAGTTGTGCTATATTATTTTTATGTGACCAAAATGGCAACTGTTTATACACAACTAATTTAGAAACAATTAAATAGTTTGTTAAATATATATAATTTTAAATAGTAATGTATGAATTGACTAATATTTATTTAAATAAATTTCAATTTCGTCATAATTGATTTTCAAAATTAAATTTAATTAAAATATATTTAGAATTGACTTTGCAAAATTTCCAATATGCTTTACATTTGATTATAGTAATGTTTAAAAAAAAAAATATTTCTATGAAAAGTGCAATTATTATATGTACAAAATATAAGCTGATGTGATTGTTATTATTGATCGCATGGGTGATCTTTTTGGGTCCCTGATCAGAGGAATGAGCGCAGCATTTGGTCATCTATACAGATAGATAGTGGTTCTGAAACGTAAAGTCGGTTAATATGACTTCATTTACAAAATTACAAATATTTTGGCAAACATAATTAATATTTTATTTAAATAAAACGGTATAGCGGTAGAAAAAATTAATATTATATTCAAATATATGTATGTAGAATAAGATTTAAAAATACTTATAAACCAATTATTATAAATCCAAGTGGCAACCTTATGTCCCATTTTTAAATAGTATATTTCACGATGAAAAAATGCAATAGGAACAACAACAAAAACAAGTCGCAACTGCTTGAGCTCATTTATGCGGCTTGGCCTCATTAAACAAATGCTTTGCATGCAATATTTTTGCAAACGGTTGCGATGGTAACACATTTTTTTATTTATTGTTAAATAGTTTTTGACCTCATTAGAAGGCTAAATGTGAGTGTATACACGTATTATTAAATTTGTTACATTTATTACATTTGCATAAAAATGTATTTAATTAAATCATATAAACAATAAATATATATAAACTATAAATGTAATCCATGCAGTGTTTTTTTTTTTCCTACTTTCCGCTGTGTTTTCTTTGTGAAAAAAGTGTTGAGGCACGTGAAAAATTTATTGTTTACATGTTGCTTTTCTTCTTCTTGCCTTTGTTGTTGTTGTTGCTTGTGTGCTTTTTCTGATTTCTTATTGTTGTTGCTTTCTAATTAAAACTGAAAATACAAATTAGTGAGAAAATATCATACTCTCATTTCGTGCTCTCTCATCCAATTGGAATTTTTTGAGAAATTTCAAAATCTAAATATTGTATGTGGGTATTTATACATTTTGGAGGTCGTTCACCTTTTTTTACTTCAGAGTAAATTATAATCTGGTAATTGATGATATTGTAAAAATCGATCAGTTCCTATAACAGTTTGATTGAAATTGTATACAATATTTTGGAAGAAAATAATGTTTTTATAAAATGATTTGTTTTATTTTATTTCTAAGATATATTACTAATTCAGAAAATATTAATAATTCCTTAGTATAGAAGAGACTACAATTATCTTCGAAATGAAATATTGGACAATAATAGTATTACCTAACAAAACAGAAAAACTGTTCAACATTGTTAAGTTTACTTAAAATTATTGTTTTTAATTGTTAGTAGGGATCTCTCCAGCGTAAGTTCTTGCTATGAAGAAGACAATGGGGTGGTGAAGTGTTTGAATTTAGCCAAATTATATCTAGAACGGCTATGTATCACTTAACGTGTTGTTCTACGTTTCACTTCTCTAGGTTCCGGGTCACAGAAGAAGTCTCAAATTGTTTTACGTGATTCTCTGCCTTGATGGCTAAACATCACGGTGCTCTTAACACACGTATTAATATAAGCGTCAATCAACGCCTCATTGGAATAGCCTGCTTTATTCCGCCGGTACCAATGAAGACATTCATGTAAGTCATAACTTCCACCTTGGTGAGATGCGAGGCCTACCTAAAATCTCTGCTACAATTTGGGCTGTAGCACCCGGTATGAAACCCACTCCACGCCGAATAAATGATAATCAAATCATACTTCCCGCGTACGTTTGGGTTTTAACCAAAACCACTACGAGGCCAACACCAATGGTCAGTACAGCAGTACAGCCGAAAATGCGGGCCACTGACCCCGTAGTACCAGATCGAATCATCTCTGGTCAGATGTCATAAGTTGCCGACTCAACTCACAACAATTTACACTTCCTATATAAGTGTTAGACTGGCACTGGGGGATTTTTGTCGCCTCTTACGACTGGCAATCCTAACCGCGGATAATTTCTTACCCACATTGCGCAGGGGAACGGGTCACAGGATATAAGAGGTGGCTGTAAACAGATTATTTTGTCAGTTAGTATGTCTTTAAAATATGTTCTAATTTATATCCCATAAATTAGAGCTTACCGCCATTATCTTTCAAATGATTGCTAAAAATTTACAAACAAAATGTGAGGGATTAACAATATGCAAACATATGAATACATGTTAGATCATTTAAAATATAAATAATTTAGCGATATCAGTTTATGGTGGATTTACTGACTAAATATTAAATATTGTCTTACTGCAGAGCTGAGGAATATGATAAAAGTGTTTTATATACACTTTACCGTTGTCCATCGCATCACAATTTAGATAAAATATTCTAGAGACTAAGACGTAGTTACTTCCAAGTCATTGCATTGTCTGGAAAACAAAATAATTGATAATTTCTTTCCTGATTTTGAGTCAAGTTTGTTAAGTATGTGTAACCAGTTAGCTTGTTAAAAAAAAGTTTCATTTTTATATGAAATTAAGATAATATATCCACAAAACTTTAGTTTAATAATTGTTATGTTTCTGATGGTTTTTATAATTGATAGAGTTTGTAACAAGTCTTTGAACTTTGTCAATCACTATAAAATCTGCAATAATATTCAAGTTATTAGGGATCAAGCTATTATATATGGAATTTATAAGCGTTCATTATTTATGAAACTACAATAATTATAAATTTAATAGATTGGGTTTGCAGCATTTTCTAATGAGAACTAATATAATGTACGTAGCATTTTGAGAGCGCTGGCGACAGACTCTGATCGTTTTCGGAGCAAATTGTCTTAAGCTTTTTCTTCTTAATCTATAACGACAATGAGATTAGGTTGGAGTGGTGGCCTTATACCCAAATCTAATTTGATTTCAAATAATGGCCCGTTGTGATATCATAGATTAACGCTGTTGGTATGGAGACTAGTGGCATACGAACAACGCTGAAAGGAACGATTCTCTTATTCACGTGAAAGTGAACCAACCTGACAAGTCTATTAACTTCGCCAAATTCCTGAGTTTGCAGGATGACAGTTCTGTCAGGTCGGTAAGAAAAGAGGCGTTAAAAATTTAAAATCTTCTTCTAGCCGATGATGGACACTGGTACATCAGGTGGAGTCATAGGCATACCCAGGGCCGAAATTAAGGGGGAGACTCTGATACTTTTCTTGTAAACAGTATTAAATTTTTATTCAAAACAATAATAAAATTTTGAAATCATTTTGAAATCCCCTACCTGTGTACGTCAATGGGTGGAGTATAATTTCTATCTCAACCGTAGAGTCGCACCCACGACAAAAGTCATTATAGGGTAGACCCTGTCTGATAGCATGTCTTCCTAGTATGCCAGGTCCAGGTCGAATTTGAGATCTGACGGAAGGGTTTATCTGCCCATTTTGTATAAACACTTCTTAGTAAATACGAATCTGGTATAATTCTTTAAATTGTTTCTAAAAATTATCATCATAATTTCAATATATAGTTTGTAGAGAAATCCTTTAACCTTTAAATCTTTAAGATTTACATTTACACATCTTAACAAACAAAATAAAAAAAAAAATAAACTAAATATTTTTTTATTATATATAAATTAATTTTAGTAATACGTTTTATCTTTTCAGATTGACTTTAATAACAATTAATCAATTATTTTATGTTATGAATCGCTAAAATAATTAAAAACAAATAATTAAAAATCATTATGAAAGCGGCCAATCCAAAAGAAATGGTCGGTGGATGTTGTGTTTGTTCAGATGAGCGTGGTTGGCCAGAAAATCCACTCGTATATTGTGATGGTCAGAATTGTACAGTAGCTGTACATCAAGCTTGTTATGGTATAGTTACAGTGCCCACTGGGCCTTGGTATTGTCGTAAATGTGAAAGTCATGAACGTCCTGCTCGTGTACGTTGCGAATTGTGTCCATCACGAAATGGCGCCTTAAAGAAAACTGATAATCAGGGTTGGGCACATGTCGTTTGTGCTTTGTATATACCGGAAGTACGTTTTGGTAATGTAACTACCATGGAACCCATTATATTGCAACTTATACCTCAGGAGCGCTATACAAAAAGTTTGTACATTTATATAAATATTAAGCTTTTAACTAAAATAAATTATTTTTTTATTAGCATGCTACATTTGTCAAGAACTTGGCAAACCCGCTCGTGCTACGTTTGGAGCTTGCATGCAGTGCAACAAAACTAATTGTAAACAGCAATTCCATGTTACCTGCGCTCAAAGCTTAGGTCTATTATGCGAAGAAGCTGGCAATTATTTGGACAACGTAAAATATTGTGGTTATTGTCAACATCATTACAGTAAATTGGTTAGTAATTTTATTTAAAATTTAAGATTTTCAACTTTTTTATTTGAGCTAATTTTACTTTTTCTTCATTTTTATAGAAAATAGGCGACAATGTATGATATTATGTATTACTTTTTATTACAAACTTACACTTTTAATTTTTTCTGCTCTATATTTTTCTATAGAAAAAAGGCGGCAACGTTAAAACAATACCACCATATAAACCAATTACGCATGATAATGATTCATCCTCGCCTGAAAAAGAAATTGACGCAGAAGTTAATGCTACAACATCTTCTACGTCAACTACCAGCATAAAAATCACTACAAATACAAATACTTCATCGGCATCAATTTCGACTAAACAACGTAAGACCACAACTATTTCAAATAAATCTGGCTCGTCATCAACTACAAATAACACGGTTTCGGTAACAAATAATAATGGCAATAACCCTAACGGTATGCAAAGTTTGCATTCAACAACTAATAATAATAATTCTAATACCATGAGTAACAACAATACCAACAATAGTTCAACTAATAATACTGCTACAGCTACTGGAAATCCGGTTGGCAGTAGTGTTGCCACCAATTCCACTTCTATTGTGCGCAGTTCATCTAGCAGTTCGAGCAACTATAAAGAGAAAGATAAGCATAGCAAAAATCAAAGTAAATTGTCAAATTCAAGCAAGGACAAGGATAGCGCATCAGTATCATTATCAACTCGTGATTCGCGTGATAAATCATCTAAATCATCAAAAAACAAAGATGCAAATAATACTTCAATGACTGCGACGGCTGTCACAACAGGTACAACTAATTTGAATTCCAATGAACAGAATAGTTCTGCAAATACGTCTTCTTCTGCAACTGGTCAGAATTCAAATATAAATACATTTGGAGTAACATCTAGTGGCAGTGGCAGTAATAACACAAAAGATACTGCTAAAATATCATCAAGTGCTGGTAATACTTTCTCTAATGATATACAACCATCCAATGCTTACACAACAAGTTATGGTAGTATCAGTATGGATGGATCGAATCAATCAACTGCAAGTAGTGGTGCAATACCGACTACTACAAAAAGTTCGAGCAGCAATACAGCAGCAAAAAAGCGCAAGAGTGATTCAAAATTAAATTCTCTTCATGATGATATCAATAGGTAATTATATATTTATTATTGATTTTGATGATTTATTATAAATATGATATATCTTTAGTTCGTTTCGAGATATTATAAAGGATGTAAGTGTTACTTTAACACCATTACAGCAAACGGACTTTGAAAAAGAAATCGAAAAAAGTTCAAAAAGAGTGAGTTAATTTATATTAATTTAATAATATATAAATATAACAAAAATATATATATTATAAATATATAATATATATACATTATTATATTTTCTTATATATATATTATTTAATAATATATTTACCAGAGTGAATTACAAAAATACTTAACTAAAAATTCAAGTTTTACAGAATTAAAAAAATAAAATACTTAACATCAAAAAAATGTGAATTTTAAAGAATTTTTATTGAGTTCTTTTAGTTGTTGTAAGTTACTTAAGAATAATTTAAAAATATTACTTTCAAAAAAAAAAACAGTATATTACTAATTAGTGATTTAATCGATTTTTGTAAGTATATGACTATATATTATTATTAAATTTCGATTTAGCATTATAAAATTGTAATCATTAAGTTATTAATTTTTTTTCCAAAAAGTTTTAAGTTTGATATAATATCAATTTTGTTTTCTTGTATCTTGTGTTATACGTTATTACACTTTAGTAATTGCCTAATCCAAACACTGATAATGACCAATAAATAACATCTATAAATGATATTTTATTGTTTTTGTAGGTTTGAGAAGCATTTCATAATAATTTTTGGGCTGGAATTGCCTGTTTCGTCTTCAAACCAATAAATAGAATTCTATTCGGATGGAATATGTATAACTATGTTGGAAACCAATTCATCGCAATAACTAATATTTTCAACTTTATTAAAGATATTGCATTTTTGCGAATATCTTTATTCTGCAAATCAGATTAAAATGAATTGCATATTATATTGACAAGAATTATATTTGTCCTGTTTTTCGCCAATATATAAATATATTCTACACATTTTCATTTCATTAGAAATTTCTAAATATTAAACAAAGGTTTTAAACATAAACAGAATAAAAATTTTGGTCCGTGAACAAAAATGATAGGTCACATTTTGTTTGATTTGATTTGTTGAATAGCGTTTTTAAATTTGTGATACCTTTAATTTAATACCATTGTTCTAATTATTATATATTTTTCGATTCCAATAATTTCACAAAAAAAAATTTTATTTGAATATAAAAAAATTTCACGCACAATGCTTTTAATTCATACTATTGATACTATTTTATATATTGGCATTAATTAAAGCAAGTCTGGGATGTTTTATATTAAGATAGGTAATATATACAATAAAAAACTTGATTTTTCCAAAATTATTTATCAGATTGATGTTATTTGAAAAATTTTCTGTTTTTATATATATAAGTTTAATATTAATTTATTTACAATCTATCAGCAGACATTCAGTAACTTTTTTATTTATATATATATTTTATATCTTTTTTATATATATAAGTTTAATATTAATTTATTTACAATCTATCAGCAGACATTCAGTAAATTGGATACAATATAGCAAATTGAGAATTGATGTATTTACATTAACATACTATTGTAACATTCACAATTGTTGTGTATTTTAAATATTATATTATTACAACTATAACAAAACTAAACTGTAATGTCTTTGAAGATGTTTTGTTTTATTAATGTTATCTAGTAATGGCGTTATATATAGTTTTATAGTTTATGTATAATTGTATCAGATATAAACCTGCAGCATGCAGTATTATTCACAGAATTATCGATTGATGTTTTTGCAATGAACGATCTGCGCACAGCCTTGGACATTTAACTATATGTTAATGTGATATTAAAATTACATATAGAGAATTGTGAGAACAGTCACTTCTCCGCAGAACAAATTTACTATACATAAATGTTGAAGTGTTTCAAAAATTAAAAAACTGTTCTATCGCTTAAACTGCACTCCTATTATCTGTAACTTTATTTCGGAGAAATTTAAATGCTCCCTATAACTATTAATATGAACCAATAATGGCTGGACCTAATACATTTTGTAATATCTAATTTAATACAAACTTTATGCGTTCTACACCTATTTAATATACGAATTTCTTTATCTTTATCTAAAAGTTACTTAAAGTTAACATGCTTTCTGTATATTTGTGCAACATACAATCTATTTTTTTTTTTTCGGAATATAAAAGAGTTAATTTTATTGATTTTATTAAATTATGTTAGTATCAAACATTAATATTATTTAAACAATTCTAATTTAAAAACAGATTACTTTGTATATAAACATATATAAATATATAAATGCAAACTTTATTTTCATATACAACATACATATAATATTATTCGATTGTTCTTATTGTTTTGGCAAATTGTTCTATAATATAAAAAAAATCATTCTTATAAGACATCTAAGCAATCTATGCAACACGTTTTAAGTTCTATAAAATAAAGTTATGCATACAAAATGATGAAAATTTGTATTTATAAAATATATTTTATATATATGATCATATTAATATGTGTTATGTATTTGAAAAATGGTAATTACATATATTACATTATATGTATTTTTATTAATACTGTAATATACCTTAAGTATTATTGCATAATGTCTTTATTTTAACGCTACATTAGACATTTTGTGATATACGGTTCTTGAGTTGTGGTTTCTATATTATTTTCTTATTGGTATGGTAATGGTTTTACATTGAGAAATATATGATATATATATAAATTTATATATAATATGCAAACTTTATGCACACGTATAATTTATTATTTGGTAGTGATACCAGAAGTGGCCAAAACCACTCGTTAGTACAGATTATCAAGACCTATTTACCACTTTCACATCTCAGATGACATTATTTAACATCTCGAGAATATAAACAACCATGTTATATACATAAAAAAATGACGTAATATACCCAACTAGGTAAAATATATGGATTAATGCATGTATAAAATATATATACATACATTTAAAAATATGATGCTACAATAAATTTTTTTTTGTTTTTGGTTTCTTTTATTTATTACAAAACATTTATTCATGCTAAAAAATGTTTCAAGAATGGAGCTTCAGGCATTCCTTAGAATCACTACAAATCTTAGATACCTACTACAAATCTACATAAGGTTTAGCTCAATCTGACATAGTCAGAGTCTATTAGGTGTATTCGTGGGTTATGGCCACCCCAAACATAACCTAATAACAATTATTCTTCTCTTGACAGCGATGCTATAATTCTATCTTTAGGTATTGTTGTTTTATTGCTACTTTGACCTCTGTAGGAGAAATCTTAATATTGTTTTTTTTTTAGTATAATTTTGTTGTTTAAATAACTTACAGTAAACGGATCAAACACAATGAAAAAGCATTATTGAATCTTTTACTTCGTGTTAAAATAATTAAAATAGGTGTCGGGTCCCTTTAAATACAATTAGATATATATATTCTATTTAATAATTTATCAGTTGATCAATTTAGTTCAGATTGATTTTAATCGTGAAATTTATCTCTCTTTATCATTAACATGAATAAGTTATATTAATTTGAAAAAGCCTTTATATCAATTAGCCTATAAATTCCAATTAATCTATAAATTCAATGTAAGTATTAACCAACTAAATTAAATAATATTTATATAGAATCTTGATATTTCGTCTATTTATAGACGTAAATGAAGAACGACAAATTCAATAATTATTAATGTTATTAAATTCCAATGACTAATATTTTATATTTTAATAATAGACTTAATAATAGACTTTGATTAAAAGAGATTTTTAGTGTCCTTTTCTTAAACTGTTGTAGTTTATTTATGTCTTTTAAATAAAATTTATATCTCTGATGTAAACTTATACGCAGGAATTTATATAAGAGGTGGGGATGGTTTAGGCTTCAGGTGATTTAGTAATTTAAAAAAAAATATTTAAGCTGTCATTATGCATTAATTATAAATATAAATGTACATAATAATTATAGTTCTTCGATTTGATTCGGGGAGAATTCAGCGCTTGCCTCTAATAACGTGCCTGCTGATAAAATTAATGCTGCCTTATAAAGTGTTTTTGAAGGTTTACCCTTTGTATTATTCTATTTTTTTTAATTATATAAAATATTGCTCCTAGGAGCTATTATAACTTTATTTATCAGTTAAGTTGATTGATTTATGGGTATTTTTTAAACATAAACTACACCTTTATCGCATTCTCTATGTCAATGGAGAAGTCCTTTAAATGGAGTTTTTCTGTTTAAAATTGTTGCGTTTATATTAGCCATAATTTTTTTTTTCAGAGTAGTAAAAATATATTCGCAACTTACGAAAAAAATCATGTGAAGCAACAACAAAGCTCTTAAAATCTTCAGAGTTAAGTTTATTCGCAAAAAATTGTGCATCTTAAGTTTCAATTCATTCAAAAATCAGTATTGAAAAAGTAAATAAACAATTTATTTTAAATATATAAGAAAAAAATGGTTCCCATCGCTCTTTTAATATTCATTCACGACTATTATTCCATATTAATTTATTATAATTGGTTTTTACCTATTATTTCATAAATTTACGTTGTTTTATTTATAAATTTATGTTACATATAAAAAATACGTATATGTGTTTAGTATTATTATTAGTATTATTATTAGTATTATTATTATCAACATTTTAAAAACTTGCACAAGGATCAAATATAATTAACTGATCAGGATCACTTGACATACTGCATAATATATTTACTTTAGTATAAAAGTTTACATTTTTAGTCAATATATTTTTTAATGTTGTGTTAATTTTCCTGGTATATTTTTATATCCAGTCTCCAAGAAACATCCTTTTATGGTTGTCTTATTCTTGTTAGTTTTTTTGTGCCAATAAATTCATTTAATTGTTTGAGTATTCTGCTGGATTTGACTGAAATCATCTACTTATGTTTATTATTTCGTCCTTGATAAGTTGAGTACCAAAATTTTTGTAGTGTTTGTGATATCATTGCGTCTATATTTTCAAGTATCTATTTTAAATAGAAATAAAATGTTAATTTTATACGTAAACTTTTGAGTTGCCATCATAAAGTATTTAATAAATAAACTGTTTTTTTAAACATTAATATTTTTTAACAAAAAATTATTTGAAGGAAGCAGTGTTTGAAATT